TTACTTTTTCCAGGCCTGTCTGAAACCACAGGAGCAGGGACTGCAAGATTCAGCCTCTCCAAGGAATGACTGACACCTCTGGCTGAATTCTCTTCCCACTCTCCCCAGTTGCCTGGCAGCGATATCTTTGCAATGCAGAAGAGCCTGTGCTGCTGATAAGGAGCAGCAGGGCGAGATTACAGCTGTGAGCTGCCCACCTCCAGGTCCCTCCAGCCAAATCCAGGACCCAATTCCAGCAGGAGCCACTCCAGAGGTACCAAACAGAGCAGGAGAAGTCGCCTGGAGAAGCAGCGATTCCGATCAGGCAGCGCTTCCGTCTGCTCCCACCAGCAAATCCCACTCGTGCCACAAATAAAAGCTGCAAGCTGGGCTAATTTAACACACAAGTGACTCCATTTCCTCCTCTACATTTTGCAAAGCCCCAGCAGCCCCAGGAAGGGGTAAGAGCCCTGCAGCTGAATCAGCTGAGCTGCAGCTCCTCATTTCAGAGGCGCCCTGGTGCTGGACAAAGCCACGTTCAAGGTGAAGGTCACATTTGGAGCCCCAGAGCAAAGACTGCCAGTATCACACAGACAGCGTTCCACAAAAATGAAACAAGACCCTTGCCTTGCTATTCCAGCACCAACCTGAACTAAAGGCAGCAAGGAAAAGCTCTTCCCATCCAGCTGATCATTTACTGACAAAATGGAAACGCTTTTCATCATCCCCACTTCTCAGCTTGATTTGCTTTAATTGCAAAACAGTCTGGCTGTCCAAATAAATCTCCTATCACTGCATTTTCTGTGGTGTTCCTCAGATCACTTTATTATCTCCCTCTCTGGCAAACGTAGGTATGACCAGGATTCAATTACCTGGGTCTGCAGGATGGATCATCCATTCTCCCTGATAAAGGCAGGGAACACAGTGAGAACATTTATCTATTGCAAGGATCACTCCAATATCCTCAAAGACATTAAAGAAGGGTCTGCTAGAGATGCCTGTCATGACTCACTACTACAAGCTCTCCTTGCCAAATTCCCAAGTTTTCACCTGCCCACAAACCCCACCTGCTCAGAGGGTTCTTCCCAGGAACATCTTTAACCCAGCCTTGCTCTGCCCAGCAGCTCATCTGTCACAAGACAGGCAGCGACTTTACTTTCTACCTTGCTACATCTGATTATTTTCTGAGTAAAGCTGAGGATAAAATGGTGAATTCTGACCCATCTCTACCAGAAACACTTTTAATGCAAAATTCCTGCATTAACAAGGGACAAGCTCTGTGGCACTTCAGCCACAACCCTTCTCACTCCTTTTTAGCAGCGTGTGTCAAGGGGAGCAAAGTCAGGTGAGGATTTAGAGCTTGGAGCTTCACATGACAATACTTTATAACTGAATCTAGTTTAAGAAGGTCAAGTCAGCTGTTACCTCGCCCAGTTTTGTCATTAGTTCCTCCTGGATATCCTCTCAGCCTGCCAAGGCAGGTGAACTGACTCACCTCATGCAGCTCCGTGACAGAACTGACGCGTGTTTGAGCTGGGAGTTCCTGGACTCTCGTGAAGATTTCTTATTTCCCCACAGTTGATAATTAACCCCCTCTTTTATTTTTGTTTGTGATGCTAGACAAGCTGTTTTTAGTAACATCTTGCTCCAGCCGTATTTCATCAGTGAAACCTCAGAGGTTTCTTGTGCTGCAAGGCAGGGCCGTGCAATGCCCAGGTCACACCATGCTATGTTTTGTCCTCGTGGTGCCAGTGTGAAACAGGAGAAATGACACCACTCTGCCTTCTCCCTTAGCACACCAAAAACTTTTTCTGAAGGACAAATTCAAAGCATCCTCAGCTTTGGGGAACTTTTAATAGCCTTTGCTCAACTGTGGGAATTTTGTTTTGTACAAATCACGACGGCAGTAAAGAAAAAAGGAATCTAAAAGTGATGTATTTTTGTGAGTCAGCAAAACATCTCACATTCTAACATTCTCCACCAACACCTGAGCAGGTGTAAAAAAACCAATCTCTCAATGGAGCTGTTGGTGAGGAGGCCGGAAGGCAGCTCCACCAGGCTGCATTCCCATAACTTCCAGTGACTCACAGTGCCTGGCACTATCATTTGTTAAAGCAAGAGTGAAGCAGGGATAATAGCTATTTACTAAAAACAGAGGAGCGTGATTAGCCTTAATTAGCATTGTCAAGTGACTTGAGATTGTCAGGTACAAGATGTGGGAGAACTAAGTCTCATTAATTATGTTATTTCCTGCAGCCTTAAGTGGCTTGGCCAGTCCAGTGACGCTTCCGGAGACGGAGCTGCTCCCGATGGCCAACACATCCCACATCAGAGGGTGGAAAAGCTCCCAGGCAGGTTGGAAGATGTGGCTGTCCAGTAAAAGGTTGCAGAGAAGGAGAAGAATCAAGAATACTCAGTTTATGTGCTGCAGGACAGCCACAGACCCTGACAAACGGGGACAAAAAGGCAAAATGACACGGCAGAAACCAGACTCGGAGATAACGGACTGCCAAAATCCAGGGAGATGAGGACCAGGGACCAAGAGGGGCTACAGGGAACAGGATTCAGGTCCAAGGCACAGCCCTCCCAGAAAACTGACTTTTTATTCTCCCCAAAAAGACAAATGATAAGAAATCCACATTCTCCACCAGCATCACACAGCCAACTGATTTACCAGCTAAAGACCTGTACTAAAGAAATGAAAAATCTTTGGGTCAGAATAGTCACTCTCTTCCATGGATTCTCCTTGGCTTCTGAAGGAAAAGGAAACTTGTGCTCAACCTTTAGTTACTGTGATTGGATCTGAAAGACAAGACCTGCAAACACAGGCACAGAAAAGAGGGAACATCCTGAAGGACCAACTTACAAGTTTCTGTCAAGGAGTGGAAAAAGACAGCTGTGTATCCTGGTTCTCAAGCAATAAACACTCTCTGCTACATCTTGGACATCCTGATCAGCCTCAGAACAGCCCAGGGAACTGAACTCTCCATTTCTCCATTCCTGACTCCACTCTGTGATCCCTGTGCTCCAGCACCCCACAGCTGACCGCTAATGAAGACTCTGCTTAAACTCAATCAAACAAAGCTCTGCCAGTTAATGACCAAAGCCCAATGAAAGCTTGGCTTTATTGGTGTCTCTTCTTCCACAAACACAGGTAAAGGCAAGGCCGTGATGCAAGAAGAAGAAATAAATGGTTTTTTACTCCTCTGCAATCCCTGCAATGCTTTTGTAGTACCACAGCAGATGAAGGAGGTCCCAACCTTCTGAACTGCCAGCCAGGACCTACACCAGAGTGACCAGTTCCTTAATTAAATTCTCTCTCAGCAACAGGTTTCAATCCATGAGTCAAGGAGCCTTTGAGGGAATGTGGATTTACAGGTAGGGATGCTGTCTTCTTCAACACAACCCTGACTCAACTGCACACACCAGACAGCAAGGAAAGGAAATAATTTATTCAGAATCTATGGATCCAGAGGACACGAGGGAGCTCAAGGATTGTTTTGTCAGTTATTCCAATCCTGGCACTGGGAAAGAGACACCTGCAAAGAAAGCTAAAATAATAAATAAAGAAGAGAAATACTTGACATCTCCATCAGATGAAAACAATATCTCTGCCCTCCCTACAGCATTCCCAACCTCAGCTTGCTTCAAAGCTCAGCCCTAACTTTTACACAGCCTTTCAGCAGGAAACAAGAACCAGGGACCCAGGGAGAAAAGGAGAACACCACAATTCCCTATTCCAGCACTGCTGTTACACACCAAACAATGTTTACAAGGAACCAGAGGCGTGGATCCAACACGTTGAGATCTTGAACAAAATCAGTGGGAGTGCTCGGCGAGGATGAAGTCACAAAACACATCCTCTCCAGGCAGAATCCTCTCACGGATTACACGGCAAGCTCCCTCAGTATCTGCTTGTTTACAACCCTCTCACTCAGCACAGGCCTGCCTGCAGTGCCCAGCTTTAAGGAGGTGTAAACGCATTAGGAAAAATCCTTGTCTGGGAGCAGGGAGCAGGCAGGGAGGCAGGGCAGGGAGGCAGGTGCTGTGCTCTGTCCCGCCCTTGCCCAGCTCTGCACGCCAGGAACGCTGGTCTGACAGGCCTTCCTCCGGCTGTTTTCTAAGACAGAAAAAGGTGAGGACAGAGCCACTCCAGTGAATTGTAAGGGAAGGCTGCGAGGATTCCAAGTCTTTTCTTCCTACCCCGTTCAAATCGCATTTTAAACAGGAGCATTTCAAATCAGCCTGACTTCAAAAACCAGCATTAAAACCTGAAGCTATTGACTCAGGGCTACTTCTTGTCACCTCGAACTCCTCTGGCTTTTCTGGATCAAACCCAGAATTCTCTACAGGGATGCAGAACCCCCGTTACCGTTTCACCCTCGGCGGAGCTCTGCAGAAGAGGAAGCTGCTACACCCTTATCAGAGGCGACAGCGACAACGCAGAGCAGCTGAGCTGCCCTGCCAGGGGCATCCCTTCCCCGCAACCCCTGCGGGCAGCGCTCTCGCAGAGCCCGGCTGGGCACGGCCGGGGCTCGCAGCGCCGCCGGCACACGGAGCTGCCGCCCGCAGCCCCGGGGGAGATGCTGCAGTTCCGCGGGGCCGCTGCCCGAGCCCCCCGCTCGCCAGACGGGTGGCGAGGCAGGACCACCGCTGCTCCTGCTCCTCCCCGCGGTGTTTCCCGGCTGCTCCCGCCGCGGTGGCACCGAACCCCTCCCGGCCGGACCTGTTGCCCCCCTCCTCCATCCCCTCGCCCGGCCGCGCACACAAAGGTCGCTCTGCCAGCGCCAGCACCGGGGGCTCCCCCATCTCCTCCACCGTCCCTGATGGAGCCCCCCGGGGATGCTGCCCGGGATCGGCGCGGCCGCGGGGACGCGGGGACACACGGGACGCGGCTGTGGCGCAGCTGCGCGCGGCCGCCCAGCCCCGGCCCCGCCGCGCGCAGCTGCGCCGGGACGCTCCTCCTCGGCGGCCGCTCGCCCCTCACACGCCCTCACGCTCGCCGCGCCGCCCTCACTCACCGCGGCCGCACCGAGCGCGTCCCGGCGCGGACCGAGCGCCGCGGCCGCCGACGCGCACAGAGCCCGCAGCGCCTCCCCCGCCCGCCGCCTGCTCCCTCCCCTTATACCCTGCCGGCGCTGAGCGACACCGCTCCTAACCAATCAACGCCCGCCGGCACATAGCAACACGCCGCTGATTGGTTTCCGCCGGCCGCAGCCCATTTTCGCCCAGCCATTCGGAGCGCGGCGTGCCCGCCCCTCCCCCGCGCGCAGCGGCTGCGGCGGCCGCGGCCAATGGGAGCGCGGCTCGCGCGGCCGCACAACAAACGCGGCGCGCGCTCTTAAAGGCGCCGCGCCCGCCCGCGGGGATGCGCGCAGGATGCGCGGGGGATGCGCGGGGGATGCGCGGCCCCGGGGGAACCGGGGGTCACGGCGCAGGGAAAGGGGCGGCTGCGGTCACTGTCCCATGGTGGTGCGGTATTGCCGTCTTTTACCCGCGCAGGTAATTAGCGCGCGTTAATGAACGACGGTAATTAGCGGTGTGTGGTGCGCGGGGGGAGCAGCGGCAGAGCAGAGACACAGGATTGACGGATTTAAGCCCAAAATGCACCAGTGCTAACCCTAAAATTCATCAATATTAACCCCCCAAATCCACCAGTGCTAACCCCAACATTCATCAATATGAACCCCAAAATCCACCAGTAGTGATCTCAAAATTCATCAATATGAACCCCAAAATCCACCAGTGCTAACCCCAAAATTCATTAATATTAATCCCCAAATCCACCAATATCAACACACAAAATTCACAAATATTAACCCCCAAATCCACCTGTGCTAACCCCAAAGTTAATCAATATTAACCACAAAATCCATCAATATCAACACAAAAAATTCACAAACATTAACCCTAAAATCTACCGATACTAACCCCCAAAATCCACCAGTACTAATCTCAAAATTCATCAATATTAACCCCAAAATTCATTAATATTAATCCCCAAATCCACCAATATCAACACACAAAATTCACCAATATTAACCCCCAAAATTCACCAGTACTAATCTCAAAGTTCATCAACATTACCACCAAAATTCATTAATATTAATCCCCAAATCCACCAATGTCAACATACAAAATCCACCAGTACTAACCCCCAAATCCTCCAATACCAACCCAGTTTCTCCACCAGGCCACAGGGCTAACTGCAGAAATGAGGATAATTCCATATTTCCCCTGGAAATCTCCATCCGTGAATTTTTCCAGCAGAGATCTTGGCAGATTTGTACCCCAGGAGCTGCAAACCCCAATTAAATGCCATCCCCTCAAAACTCTGTAATTAACACACCAGCACCCAGCAGCTCAGGGCATTTAGAAGCTTCTCCCTGCACGTTTTTATTCCCTAATAACAATAATTCAGTGTATAAAGTACAGGTTTAATAATCCCAGAATGGTTTGGGGTGGAAGGAATTTTAAAGTCCATCCTTGACATGGGCAGGGACATTTCCCACTATCCCCTGGACATTTCCAATGTTGAAAATATTAAATATTTTCTATCTGCCCATTTATCAGATCCGTGATTAAAGTTCTGCATCTTCAGGGCTGAAATATATTTGCTTTATGAGATTATTCTTGTTCTAACTCTCTCCTACTTAAGGAAATTATTAATGATATTTTATTGCAGAATTCCTTAATTGGTAATAAGAGCAATATTCTGGTTCAAATGTTAAATACATGGAATAATAAGGCAAAATTTCCATTAATACTGATTATTTTTGTGGGAATAACATTTAGCTCATGCTAGAAATTATTTTCCTTCCACACATGCCAAGCCCACCCCTCTGATCACATCACTGAACCAGCTGGGTGAGGAATTCCACAACCAGATTTTCAACACTAAATGACCTTTTTTTTTCACCCCCTGTACACTCGTGATATAATTTAAACACTCTGCTAACAAAGATTCAAGCACCAGGCTAGTTAGCAGCTGTTAAACACACCCAATAAAGAGGAAAATTGCTATTAAATTAAAAAAAAAATTAAATTGTGTTCCGCAAGAGGAGCCTGCTTTGAAGGCTTAATTTAAACTTCTTTTCTTCGGTAACCTCCTGCCTTCCCCAGCCAGCAGCAAACAGCAAACACCAGATTTCCAGCCCCTGTCCCCAGTGCTAAAAGTTCTTTATTTAACAGATCTAGAGGAGGTTATAAGCAGGAAGTGGTGACAGAATTTACTTGAACTTTAAATCACCCAGAAACCACAAGAAACCATCAGCAAAACAAATTTACATCATCAAGAGGCTGCTGCAAAGTGAATTTTTTTCAGCCCATGTGTGCAGCAAAATTTTTCAGTACATTATGACTTAAAAGGTGAAAATGAATATTGTTTATATGCAAAGGTTTCTATTGTTTGTTGGTTTAGGGTGATGATTAATTGGAATTATTTTGCTTTAAGTTAAGCATCACCCTGAAGATCTGGGGCCTCACACAGCTTTGAGGTTGTAGTAAAATATCACCATAAAAAAGCCAAAATTTCTTCTTTCTGGTCTAAATCACATGATTAACAAAAATTGTAAGGTTTTTAGGGATAACAGTATTTTATAAGGAGAATTTCACTCACTTTTTTAAAAATAAAACACTGGTTGGGTTAAATTCTATTTATTAAAGCTTCAAATCCCATTTTCACATTTGATTCTGGGTTAGTTTGGTTACAAACTTTGAAGCACAGCTTGAGCAGCACCATGAAAACTTCTACTGGGGTGAACTCGAGGGAAATATATTAAAAAAACAAAATCTGAATTTTGGCTCTATAGTAATTACAACTCAGCTTTCAACTGAACTAAGCTAAGCAGGATTTTTAATTTCACTATTTGCAAACACTGGTTTTTTTGGAGCTTGAGCAGCACAGCTACTGTTTTTCCCTGCTCAGTGTCTGATATCAGTTTAAACCTTAATTATCATTTAAACAAGAAAAGCCCAACTGATCGGGCATCACTGCCTGGGGGAAACTTTTATCAAGGCAATACTGAGAGGAGAGAAAATACCGATCACCCACTGAGGTATTGCCTCAACACCTCGGGAATTAAGTGTGGGTTTAGAGCTGATAAAATCTCAGTTTCTTGGCATTCCTGAATTTTATTTGCAGCAGGTGTTAATGGCCTTGTAACCAAGATACCTCCCCTGCTATTGCCTTTTTTCTCTATTTGTAAAATGGGAATATTTGAATTTTTTTAGAAGTGAGAAAGCATCCTTGAAGTGTTTCCATCATTAACAGAAGCAGGTTGGTTGTGGTTTTTTTTCCCCTCAATTTCATTATTTTTGGTCCAGCTGATCCCTCATTTTCCTTTCTACAGCACTATTCCAGATTTTACAATTAGGATTTCCATTCCCTTTCCATAATTCGAGGGTAAAATCTCGGGATGCGAGTCTCCCTTTGCTGCAGGAATTCCATCGGGAATGCGCGGACTGTGGCGGCCTCCCGCGGCAGGATGGAGCAGGGACATTCAGATTTATTTCCTACTAAAATTCATCGGACATGAGGAATTTCATGGGCAAACCAATGTTAAAACAAAGTATATTATTTTATCTATAAGAAATATATAAAAGTATGTTAGAGAAATAAATATAATTTTATAGAAAAATACTTTTATATAAATATAAAAATGTTCAACATTTATATAAAAGATAAAATACTATATAGAAAGCATATACTTCATATATAAAAAGTATCTATACTTCATATATAAAAAGTATCTATACTTCATATATAAAAAGTATCTATACTTCATATATAAAAATATATATATACTTCATATAAAAAACATATATGCTTCATATAAAAAGCTTTTCCTTTTCTTAGGTAACCTAGTATAAAAAATATACATACTTCATATAAAAATATATCCTTTAAATATATAAATATATTTAAAATATATATAAAATATAAAGTATATTATATATATTATAATACATATCCTGAAAATTCTTTAAAGTAATCAGCACCTCGAGCCTTCTTGCTTTGGATAAATAAATTGTGAAGTTGTTTCTCAATATTCTGTTTGAGCTGCATATTTATGGCAGGTGACACATCCTGAAGTGATCACAGAGAAATAGTTTCCATGTTAAAAGACTCTGTAATGGCCCCCAGTTCCCTGTTCTGATTGACCAAATATTTAGGATTTGTTTTAAGAAATCAAACAGCATCCAGAGCCATCTGGAGAAGCCTCTCATCATGCTGGAAAAATCCTTTAAAAGTTACTAAATATTGCAACATACAAACCCCCACTTCACCTCTCTTACCTAAATATGAACCCTCACGGTTTTAAAATTACACTTGACCTTAAAACCTGATATTTAATGGAATTTAATGGCAATCCAGTAGGAGAGCTGGAAATTTTTCCTCTAGGACTAGAGGAAACATTATCCTGCTGATCATCAGAAAGGACAGAAACCTGCTGCAAGTGGAATTCCTGTGAACCCAAACTCAAACCAAGGACACTGTAAACACAAAACCACCCTCAGAAGTCAGGTTTTTAGGGAAAGAATTCACACCTAACAAGCATTCAGTTTGAGATTTTTTATGAGCAAAGATGTTTTAATGTGCCACATTCCAAAAGCATCAAATCCTTCTTCACATGAAAAGAAAAATCACTGCATAGCTTTGGAGCTAGAGAGGTCCACGAGACTTTCTGCAAATTAAAAGTGCATGAAATACATGCAGTCATCCTTCATACATAAAACACTTTGCAACAGGCTTGAGAACACAGTGTTAAAACAATATTTAGAATTAAAAGTACCTGAAAAGAATCTCTCCTTAGAGAGGGAGAAATTAACTGAACATCTTCCTGGACAGTTGTGCAAGTTCTCAACAAAAAGCTTTTCTGTACAAGTGGTTTAAAAATCACATAGCAAGTTCTGGAATATTTAAAACAAGGATTAAAACAAATGTTTTACAGTTACCCCAAGTGTTTGTTACAAACAGTTATCATGGCCTAAGCCCTGTGCACTGGTGCTGGGATTCACCCATGGAACATTATCTGTCCCATGAGATCAAACCTGAGCTCTTGTGCTAAAGCCCAAACAGGTGAATGAATAAATCCA